AAAGAAATATTTTTGTTACATGGTATATGTTCATTTTAAAAGTTAGGGAATATAGATAAGTACGAAGAAAAAGAAAAATGAACACATTGTGAAAGGTCCTTTGAGTTTTGTGTTTTTGTGTGTGGATGTGCGCTTTTATTCACTGGTTTATTATTCAATAGGTGTCTATTGTGTGCGGGCCACGCCCTAGGAACTAGGTTTAGAGAATGTTGTGCTGAAAAAAGTCCCTCCCTTCATGTAACTCACATTCCAGTATCTTTTGTAAAAGATGGAATCATTTCAGACCTGCAATTTTAAAACCTGCTTTTTATCAATTTAAAGTATACATTGCATGCATCTTCACGCTAAATATAGATCTATGCAGTAATTTTAAATAATTGTTTAATAGTTCAAGATTTGAATACGCCATAATTTTTTTATCCAATTCCATAACTATAAACTGGTAGTTTCCATTATTCTTTGCTGTTACCGTATAGACAACTTTTTTGAGGAATTTTGTATGTACATTGGTTCATAAATAAATGGACACATTTATTCAATTACATCCATGGGATAAACTTCATACTCCAGTGTTTGAGCCCTGGATCATATTCCAAGCCAATATGTAGACCTGCTTTATCATTATCTTTATATTTCCTTGTGTGGGTAGTCTGGTATTTAAAAGCAGTTCCCAATTGATTGTTTTGATAAACAATGAAGCAATAAACAGTCTTGTGCATGCACTTAGGCACATTTATATGAATACTCATTCCTTTATTTAATTAGATTTTAAAATTGAAATACATGTTTGGTATAAAAATGATAAGTAGAGAAGTGTATTACATGAAAAGTGTAAGCTCTAGCCTGTCCTTTCTCCCCACCCCGAGTTAGCTCCTTGGACGTAAAACCACAGACGCTCCCTGTGCATTTATTTCTCCTGTGAATTTCCTCCACATATTCTGTATGTGCCACGTGATGCTTTGATCACACAGCATCCATGTCTCTCCTTTGCGACTGCACCCCGATTTTTAGCAGTACCCTCTCTTCCCCCTTTAAATCTGCTCCAGCTACCCTGGCTTCCTTGTTCCTAACACACGCCAAAATAAATGAAAAATATTTCAGCTTCAGGGCCCTTGAATTTGCCACTTACACTGCCTGGAAAACTCATAATTCAAATTCCCATAACTCCCTCCTTGATCCTTTAGATCTTTGCCCAAATCTATCTTATCTAATCGCCCCATGTAAAATGGCAGTCCCCAGCCCCACACCTCCATCTCCCTGCCTGGTTCTACTCTCCTCCGGGGCATGCTTCGTCATCCATAGGTCTTACCATTTCCTTTGTTTATTTGAACCCCCCCACTAGGATGTACACTCCATGAGAGCAGGAATTTTTGTGTATTTTGTCCACTGCTGTATCTTCAGTGCCAGAACTATTATTAACATATAATAAATAGGTGCTCAATTAATATTTATTTAATAAATGAATGAATAACTGTGAAGGGCACACATAAGTTTGGGGCTAATTAGACATTGGTTTGAATCTCCACTTATTCAAGTCACAATAGCTGTGTAATTTTGGGCAAGTGTCTTAATTTTTCTAGGCTTCAGTTTCTTCATCTGTAAAACAGAGGCATTAATCGCTTTATAGGGTGCTGAGATGATTCAGAGAGGTTCTATCATAAACGTCTAGAACAGTACCTAGCACTCAGCGGGCGCTCAACAAAGCTTCTTTTCCTTCTCTTTCTCCTTTTCCTCTTTCTCCTTCTCCTTCTTCTTCCCACCTCTCCTCCTTCTCTTCTTGTTACTATTTTGAAATAAAAAAGCATTGCCTTGTTATTTTTCGTTCCCAGAGTTCCAATGTGTTGCTTAGCACACAAAGCATCTGGGAGCTTCCATCTGCCACAGCTGACTCATGTTCCCCTTCAGTGTGTCCTAGCATTACAATGCAGGTAACACTCGTAATTCAGGAAGCCTCTGCTGCTTTGCCCCACGAGGGGGATCTGGCACCAGGACAGCTGTTTGAACACGGACTCTGTAACCTCCGACTACATGGTCTGGGACAGCCATAGGTGTTGGTCCAAGTTTAGAGTCACTCATGTTTGCAAAAATATGAAACCTAGGACAGCTCCAGTGTTTCCCTGAGTATAGGGGGGCCACACTCATGGTCCATAGACTCCAAACAGCCGTCTCACTCCTAGTTCATAGCAGCCAAGGATAAATTAGTGGAAAAAGGATCCCTTTTGGTCCCTTGGCATTCAAAAGGAGAGAAAATGACCCATTCATATTTCTCACAGACTAATTTCCAAGGACTTCTAGTCAAGACTTCAGCTCCAAGTTTATTCATTGCCACATCTTCCATTCACTCAACAAACATTTTTTAAAAAAATAAACACTAGAGGAAAGGCACCATAAAATGTGCCCTCAAGAGTCTTTCTGCCTGAAGACAATTATTACAACTAGTCATAAAAGTTGTGAAAGCTATTTATTGAGAATTTATCTTTTGTCAAGCAGTCTACGCAGGAACTCAAATCCAAAATGATAACAATGTGAGGGGATGGTGAAATCTACATTACAGATAAGAAAACAGAGATTCAGAGAAGTCAGCCATCCAAGGTCACAGACTAGACAGTGACTGAGCCAGGACCCAAACTCCGTGCTGCCAAACTCTCAAGACGAGGATTTCTGCAATAGTTTATATTGTCTCTACATATTGTAACCTAGAAGAGAAAAGATAAAGTTTGTCAATAATATAAATTATATGGAAATCATTCAGTTGCATCCAAGAAGCGTTTGTTGAGGCAGTAAAGCCCTGTTAGGTATTCAAAGGAAGTGTAACAATTTGGATAGAGTCAAGTCTATCCACAGCTTCTCTAGGGGGTTGTGACTGAATATAGTACAATAAATGCCATAATTGAGTCAACAGCAGGGGACCTTATTTCTGGTTAGAGGGAGTTTCACAGATGATGTGGTATCCTGGTCTGGAAGGCCGAGGAGCCTGGCAGCTGGTGAAGAGGGTGGGAAGAACATGGCTAAGGCACAGAGGCCTGACAGTACTGAGCAGGAGTCTGAAGGGACGAGAACCAAGCAGCAGGTGGTTGGAAGCGGCAAATATGGAGAGGTTCCCTGGCCACAGGGTGGGAGTCACATCACTGCCGGGAAGGGGCTCAGGAAGGGCTGACAGGGTGGGACAGTCACGCTGACTGGGATCACAGCAAAAACATAGCAGATTGGAGGGGTTCAGGTGCAGAATGACTGCGAGTCACGGGGTGAAGGAACCGGGCAACAGCCAACTGGAGGGAGGCGGTAACAATGGGGAGGTGACTGTGTGTGGAATTAACCAACCCCAGGGTTCCAGATGGAATTGTGGAGTCATGGTGAGATCATTTAGACAGGCTCAAAATGTCCTTTATTGGCCATTAACCCATAGTTTTGACTTGCAAAGCCTTCAATCTAGTGGCAGGACTACTTTGAAACGGCTTCGCTAGAGGGGGGCCTGGTCTTTGGTGACAGGGATGGTAGGGAGCAGACTCGGGTTGGTGGTGTGACTACTGGAGAATATTCCCCCAAATGCGGGAGTGTTCGTGAAAAGTTTAAAGTCTTCCCAGGGTAGTGTTTTACCCCAAAAGATCAAGGAAAGCGCTCACAAAACGTGGCCAAATCAGATGCATTTGTTTTGAATGCTCTGCTAACTAATGGTTCCTGAAAGTATTTTTTTTCTTTTTAACTGAGATATAATTGACATAAAACATTGTGTTAGTTCTAGGTGTATAGATAATGATTTGGTTGCTCCCTAGTCACAATGTTTTATTGAAGCCCGGGAGACCTAAGAAAGACTCAGTCGAGGTTTAACTCAGATGTCTTCATTCTAGTCACAGTATTTATCGTTAGTTTAAACATGGAATGGAAGATAACAGAAGCATATTATTATTCTGGTAGAAATGAAAGTAGGACAGCTGCTCACTGTCCTTCTTTATTATTCTGAATTATTTACATGTATTAAGATTGAATTTATTATTTGACAATGGAAATGTATATTAATAGCTGTGACTATGGCATATTGTGTCATATTTTATCAGGGTCCATTTTGTATGTTTTGAGCAAATTGGCTTTAAAATGTGCTTGTTCTTGTAACGATTTCCTACAGTTTTGAATATGTACTTTCATTTTAAAATGCCCCTGGGAAGGAGAGTTCACCCCAGTGGTGAGGGTCAGTGCTCCTGAGATTGGCCCTGTTCTCTCGTGGGGGAGAGGCTGGAGGAGGCAGAGTCGACGGGGCAGCACTGCTCCTTCAGTTCCGTGTCACTGTCACACACAGAGGTTTCACCTTTCTGAGTATGAGAATCTGGCCTCGTCAAGATAAGGGTCTGCTTCTCTTGCCAGCAGCCATGCTGGCCCTTTCTGCCTGTGTTTGCAGGGCAGAGGGCAGAGGGCAGAGGGCAAAGGAAGGAGCCAGAGCAGCTCCTGCTGACGTCGCTCCTGCTGCTACAAACACTCCCACTTCCTGACTACCAGCTAAGATTTACTGGGCATTTACTGTTTGCTAGACCTTGTTCTAAGGATTTCAACCTATTAACTCATTTACTGTTTTATAACAACCCTATCAAGTAGCTGTTATTATCCTCATTTTACGGATGAAGCATTTGAAACACGGCAAGGATACATAACTGGCCTAAGTTCACACCACTAGTAGCTGGCGGAGCGTGAACGGTCTAACTTAATCCATTTTATCAGACAGTTACAGCATTAACATTGCATGCTTTGAAAAATATTCACTGGACATGCTCTAAAGTATAACTCTGTAATAAAATTTCCTCTAGGGAAATTGAGTGAATAACTGAGTCGTTTGGCTAACTTTGACCCTGCAATATTTCCCTATCTCCCAGAATAGCACAATTCTTCATTTTTAAAAAAACAAGGAAGGTTGTAGTCAGGAGCAAAATAGAGTTACAATTTCTGCTTCCATGACTATTTAGGAATTGGTCTCTTTTGTATAGTTGTTTAAAGATAGGTTAATAAATAACAGAGTGCACATTCCATATCTGGGAATTTTATTTTGCTTTGTTGTATTGGATTGCCTTTGAGAGGACATTAAATTTTGCATTAAAGTGATTTGAATTCTTTGACCCTCACTCCACTCTGTGAAGAGGAGACAAACCCCACAGTCCGGAAGGGCATACTATTGCTGGCCTACCTAATGTACATTGCTCTTGGGGCGATGATATTTCAAGCCTTGGAGAAAGACTTTGAGGTAGAGCGGCGAGAATTGGCAGTTGATACGAAATGTGATTTTCTGAAAAATCGTTCTAATATGACTCAAGAAGACGTTGAAGTCTTTGTGCAGGTAAGAGATGAAGACTTGGTTATTTTCAGAGTCATGCGACTGCTGTCTATGCAGAGAAGCCATTTAATGTGAAAATTCTATGAAATAATAACTTCCTTCATCAAAACGAAAGACAGTTCACCAAAACAGGCTTTTCATTTTAGCTGTGAGTCACACAGGGAGAACTTGAATAGAAATAAGGAAATCATGCAGACTGGGAAGAAAAAGGAAGGCAGCAGATAATAAGAGGATGGAAGGAGGTGAAAGAGAGGGGTCGAATTACAGCCCAGTCACTAGATGAGTGTAAAAGCTGAGAATATTCTGACTGGAGTGGTCCTTTTCATTACTCCACGTGGAGTTCAGAAAGATGTTCTGATAAGAATTTGGCAGGAGGGGCCAGCCCAATAGTGTATCGGTTAACTTCATGCACTCTGCTTTGTCTGCCTGGGCTTTGCCAGTTCAGAGCCCCGGCATGAACCTACACACCTCTTGTCAAGCCCTGCTGTGGCAGCATCCCACATATAAAGTAGAGGAAGGAGGGCATGGATGTTAGCTCGGGGCCAGTCTTCCTCAGCAAAAAAAAAAAAAGAGAGAGAGAGAGAGAACTTAGCAGGAGATAGGCTTTACTCTCCTTCCACTTTTTCCAGGGATTGTCTTGCTCTGAGTTCTGGACGCATTGTCTCTAAAATTATCCTTGTGATATCTTTTGTTTTAGAGAAAATTTAATTTTAATGTAGTTGTTCTTATTATTCTTTTCCTTTAGGGTTTGTACAGCTTAATCAGTTGTTTCTTTTTTTAAAAAATTTTTTAAATTTTTTATTTCAGTAACATTGGATTATAACATTATATAACTTTCAGGTGTACATCATTATATATTTCGAATTCCGTGTAGATTACATCATGTTCATCACCCAAAAACCAGTTATAATCCATCATCACACACATGTGCCTAATCACCCCTGACTTTGGTATTGTAAAGACAATTTCTTTTTTTCTTTCAATTATTTCATTGAAATCATAAAGGTTTTTAACATTGCGTAATTTTGGCTGTACGTTATTATTTATCAGTTTCTGTGTAGACTGCCTCGTGCCCATCACCAATGATCTAATTTCTATCTGTTATCATACATATGTGCCCTTTTACCCCTTTTGCCCTCCCTCCATACTCCTTCCCCTCTGATAACCACTAATCTGTTCTGTAAAGACATTTTCTTAACCTTTTTCTAAAAGCTTTTTAATTTTGCTTTTTACATTTAAATCACTAATCCATCTGGATTGTGTGTGTATGCACGTATGTATACATGTTAAGTAGAATCTAATTATATATATTTTTCCATGTAGAAAGCTCATTGTTCCAGAACAATTTATTGATTAATTCATTACTTCTCCATTAATTTTTAGTGTTAGCTCTGTCATATTCCAGGTTCTCATATGCACATAAATTTTTTTCTTGGTTTTTGATTCTGTCCATTCTGTTTGAATTGTAACAGGCTTACAATACGTCCTAAAACGGACTTTCCTAGTCTTTTGTAAGAATTTCAAGATCAGATTGTCAAATTCCGTAATATCTTCTGCTGGGGTTTTGATTGAAATTCCTTTGAATTTGGGGAGAATTATGTGATGATGTTGAGTATTCTTAAACGCAAAATGGAATCAGTATATAGGAACCATATAATACATAGTCTTGTGTGACTGGCTTCTTCCACTTTGCGTGATGTTTTTGACATTCAGCTCTAGTACTGCATTTATCAGTATGCCATTTCTTTTTGTTGCTGAGTAGTATTCTATTGTAGACCTATAACAAAATGTGTTTCTCCATTCCCATTGGGGAGATTTGCGTTGTTTACAGGTTTTGTCTATCAAAAATGAAGCTGCTACAAATACTTTTTATGTAAGTCTTGGTGAGGAAACCTGTTTTTATTTATTTATTTTTGGTAAATGCCTGGGAGTAGAACTGCTGTGTGAAATAGTATGTAAAACTCTGTAAGAAACTACCAAACAGAGTGGTTCTCCAGAGCGCTTGTGTCGTTTTACACTCCCATCAACGATGTGTCAGCGCTCCAGTCTCTCTACAGCCCCACCAAAATTTGGTGTTGTAAGGTTTTTAATTTTAACCAATCTAATGATGCTTCATGGTGATTTTAATTTGCACTTCCCTAGTGACTAATCATGTTGAATATTTTTATGGGCTTACTGGCCATTTTTATATCATCTCTTGTGAATTGTCTGTTCAAATCTTTTGCTTGTTTTTTTCATTTGTTTTCCAAATGCAGAATTGTAAGTGTTTTTTTAAATATTCTGGAGAAAAGTCCTTTCTCAGGCATGGGTATTGCCAATATTTTCTCCTAAACTGTGGATTAAATTTTCATTCTATTCATGGTTTCTTTTGAAGAGAACTTTATTTCTTATAAATTCCAGTTTGCATTTTTTTTATCTTATGGATTGTGCTTTTTGTGTTCTAGGAAACCTTCAGCTAAACCAAAGTCACAAAGATTTTTTGACTTTTTGTAATTTGGCTCTTCTAGTTATTTACATTATATGATATATTTCAAGTTAATTTTGGTGAATTGTATGAGATAAGCAACTCGATTTGTTGTTATTTTTAATACACACATCCTATGGTTTCAGAATCATTTGCTGAAAAGACTATCTTTATTTTCCATGGTATTACCGTGGCAACTTTGTCCAAAGTCACTTGACTAGGTTCCAGTTATGGGTAAGGTGGGGTCAGCATACTCCACTCTTTCTCCCCGACTGACTGTAACTATAAAATCTGGAAAGAATATATAGGTCAGGTATTGGAGGAATCTGAAAAGTAAACGGGAGCATCAGTGTAGGGGAAGAACACCAGGACTTGTAGTACTGAACCGGCAGTGAGTTAAGCGTTGTACCCGCCTCACATCTCCCAGCCTGATCTTAATGCAGCTGGAAACTTTGATGTGAACAAGACGACAGCTCTAGGAGATGCCCTCTAGTTCTGGCTCCAGGAACGGGAAAGGGAACTCCTAATGCTCAGAGACAGTGTGGAAATCCTCCCTTTTATTTCTTTTCTTTGTTGTCTTGCACCCCGGTTCCCAAGTGATCCTGTGGTGGTGGCGGCAGCAACAGTGGAAGCAACGGAAACCCACAAAAGGCAAAATTCTGAGCGAGGGGAAAATTGCCCTCTATTTTCTGAAGATGTTGTTTCAAGGCTAGGGCCAAAGCCTTTTACTTTTTTTTCCTTCTCTCTCTGTCCTTTCATCACTTGACCCCAGATATGTTGCAGTCATAGAAGTAGTTGGTTTCTGGCTGGAAGACCAAAAAAGAGGAGCCCCCAGGAATAAGAAAGTAATGAGGAGATCACAGAGAGGGAGCTGTTTGGGAAAGTAACCATATAAAATTGCTTAAGATCTTCTGGGCTCACCCGTGACCTGCTCATACATGGATCCGATCCTAATTTTCACACCAAAGACTTTGAGAACTGAACTAGTGGGTAGACATGCATCTAGGTCTCAGACTGACCTCTGAGTGATGGACATATGGCATAGGTCAAAAGGATACTGTAGAGGCTGTGAGAGCTGAACTGACATTGGAACCACATCCCACAAGATGTGAGCTGGAACTTGTAGTCTGGATCTAACCAAGTCGATTGCCTGCTAAAGGGAAAATATCCACGTTCTCCATAGGATTTAAATAAGACTCAGAGTCTCATAACATAGTTTGCAAAATGCGGAAGACAGTCGGAAAGTACTCAGCACATGAAGAACCGCAAAAGTCTGGCAATGAATCCTCTCAGGTTTTGTTTGTCTGAAGAGCTTTTGTTTTGCCTTTTTCAAAACAACATTTTCATTGGATCTGTAATTCTAGTCTGGAAGTTTAAAAAGGTTGTTCCGTAGTCTTCTGTTTCATTGCTTATGATGGGAAGCCTGCTATTATTCTTGTTTTTGTTGCTCTTTACATACTGTCCTTTTTTCTCTGGTTACATTTTAGACTCATGAGTTTCATTTTATGATTCATTGAGTTTCGTGTGACTGTGGGTTTACAGTTTCCATCAAATTCAAAAATTTTCAATCATTATTTTGTCCCCACTCTGCCCCCTTTCTCCCAACACACATACTTGATATTTGATTTTTTTTCATCTCTTTTTTTCTCTGGGAGCTTCAGTTTGCGTAAAGCCTACTGCTATATCTTTCCGTTTATTAATCTTTTCTTCTGCTGATACGCCCATCTAGTGAATTATTCTTTTTTGGGTATTATATTTTTTATTTCTAGAATTTCTATTTGGTTACTTGCTTTTTTGGTTTTGTTTTTTGGTTGCTTCTTAAATATTCCATTTCTCTTCTCATTATGTTAATACTTCCTTTTATCTTTGAACATGTTTATAAGAGCTCTTTCAACATAGTTGTCTGCTAATTCCATCACTTTAATAGAATTGTTATTTACGGGTCTGCTTCTCTTCACTGATTTTTCTCCTGGTAATTGTCTTTGTGTGTCTGTTAATTTTTAAAACTTGGATAATGGACATTATGCATTGTTTTGGGATGCTTGGTTTTACTATATTTCATTAAATTCCGTGGAGTTTCTTGGACAGGAAATTAAGGAAGTTATTTAAACCTTCTTGTAATCCTTTCAAGATTTGTTTTAAGCTCCTTTCAGACTTAAAGTAGTCTTTTTTCCTAGGGCTAATTTTACTGCACTTCTCAGCTACAGCCTTTTGGGGTTCTCTACTGAATGTTGTGAACATACGATCGAGGCCTCTTCACCCTTGCTGAGAAAACTCGGATAGCTCCTAACCTGGCGTGAGCTCTGGGACTCGGTCAGTTTACAGGCCACAGTAATTTTTTCGCAATATATTAGTTAGTTGCTGCTGCGTAACAACATTACAACAAACTTCGGAGGTTCAAACACATTTATTATTGCAATTTCTGTAGGTCCAGAGTCTGAGCACAGCCTCACTGGGGCCTCTGCTAGACTGTAGTCCAGGTGTCAGATGGGGCTGTGGTCTCATCTGAGGCTCAGCTGAGGAAAACTTGCCAACTCCTGTGGCTTTTAGCAGCATTCAGGTCCCCCAGGAACAGACCAAGGACCCGGTTTTCACGTGGACTGTCTGCTACGGGCTACCTCCGGGGCCCTGCCATAAGGCCCTTTCTATAGGTCTTTCACAACATGGCCGCTCCCTTCTTTGAAGCTAGCAAGGGAGACAGAGACCCTAGCAAGATCAGCACTATAGTCTTACGTAACCTAATCACATGCACGGAATCACACAGCTCCTGTCACCTCTGACGTATTCATAGCCACATATGTGGCTAGAGATAAGTCACAGATCCCACCCACACTCAGAGAGGGAGTCACACAAGGGCATGGACACCAGACCACGGGCGCCACTTTGAGAGTCTGTCTGCCACACTCAGGAAACTGTTTTTGACCAGCCTCATAAAGTTCCACCCTTTTCATGTGCAGGATGTCATTCAGCCAAAGACTCAAAGAGACCTCTATGCAGGTTTCTGTAGTTCTTTCTCTGTGCAGCTTTCTCCTCTATGGAATCCTGCCCACAAATTGCAGCCACCTCAGCTGCCCTGAACTCCAGTCTCTGGCCCCTCCACTCAGCAAAATCACCATGCTCTCTTTGGGGGTCCCTCTCCCTATACCCCAGTCTAGAAATGACCTCCAAATAGCTGGGGCAATAGTAGTACTCACTTCATTCGTTTTCCTTCTCTTGGTGATTACAGTTCTGCATTTCCTCTTGTCCAATGTCTGGAAATAGTTTTTTCCTAAGTTTTGTACAGTTTTCCAGCTGTTTACTGCAGAAAGATAATTTTGGACTGTGTCCTCCATCGTTGCTGGGGCAGCAGTCCACCTCTTAGTTCACTCCTCATTACCATCACCTCTGCCCTCACCTCAAATGTCATCCAAGAGTGTTTTTGTTCCATCTTATTTTTAAAACTCCCGTATGTATTATTATACAGTTATTTTTTGTTTTCATTTACCCAAATTTTATTGATTTCTTTCTTCATTATGTCTTCATCTCAGAGTTTCTTTCAGGGATAATTTTCCTTCTTGTGAAGTATGTCTGAGAAATTTCTCTCAGGAGAGTCTGCTAATGAGAACACTCTTTTTTGTTTATTTTGTTTTGGTCTAAAAATACATTCATCTCTTCATCCTTCTTGAAACATACTTTAGCAGAGTACCCGATACTAGGTTGACAATTGTTTTCTTTCAGAACGTGGGAGACGTTTGTCCACTATTTTGTGGCTTCCTTCAGCTGCTTTTAAGAAGTTTTCTGTCAATCTAATTGCCTATCCTTTGTAGGTAACTTATCTTTTCTCTCTGGCATCAGAGTCCTCAGATTTTATGAACTTCTCTTGATCTCTGGTATTTGCTGTTTCAGTTCAACAGTGTAAATGAGACTTTTGTTTTTATTTTGCTTGGGGTTTACTTCCTGAATCTTCATATTTGTTTCTCTTATTAATTCTGGGAAACACCAAGCCGCTAATTTTTTTAAAATGAACAATATGGTTGATCTGTTATTTCTGTCCTCTATATCTCTTAACCTTTCTTTAATATTCTCCATTATTTTGCCTTTTTAGCTGTATTTTGAGTAATTCATTGACATATCTTTTATTTACCTATTTTCTCATTGACTCATCATATCTGAAGTTTTGAAATTTTAATTTCAATGGTTATATTTTTTCTTTCTAAAAGTTCTGTTTTATTCTCTTTAACTTTGTTTGGTCTTTCTTGTTACTTATATTCCTACACGTCTCTAGTTCCTTTTGTTTAGTTAAACACTTTAAAGACATTATATATTCTCTATCCAATTACTTCAATACTTGAAGTCTTTAGGATTTTAATTCTGCTATTAGATTGTTCTGTCACTCTCACAGGGACATTCTTACCTTGTTTTTTAATTAGAATGCCTCTAGTGTTTCACCATTAAGCATGAATCTGCTGGGGTTTGTTACAGTTACTGTATATCAAATTAAAATATTTTGTTTCTATTTCTAACTTACAAAATATTTCTCTAAAATTATTTTATTTTACCTCTTTTTGTATTTATTGAAATGATTAATATATGGGTTTTCATCTTTCTTACATTTTTAATGATTTCCTATTGTTAGACATTTATTGCATTCCTTTAGTTATAATGTATTCTTTTACAATTCCACTGGATTTGATTTAATAATATTTCATTTAGAATTTGGAAATCTATATTTACAGGCACTCTATAATTTCTCTCCTTCCTTCCTTCTTCTTCCTCCCTCCTTCCTTCCTTCCTTTCTTATACCTGTGCTAATCATGTCTGCTTTGCATATGTTAGTGTCAGATTCATTCTAGCACTCTGCAAAGAATCAGGAAGCATAGAAAACATCTTTTCATTATTTTGCTCACTGTACCACTTTCCACTCCCACTTTGCTTTCCTCCTGACTCTGTATTTGCAGTTTCTCAGGGGTGTTTAAGGAATAAAGACATCAACGTCTTGAATAGGTCATTACTATTACTGTTTGTTTGTGAAGTTATTTGGCCGAGGTTCTTTTATTCCCAGAATTCCATGTATTGTAGACTTTTCGGAAATTGCTGGCCCTCTCACTAACTCCTTTCTTATTCTCCAGTGATGGGATAAAATTGCTGTGTTCTTCTTTTCTCATACCTCTCTCATGATTTCAGTTTGCTTCAACTGGAGGTCTCCCTGCCGCTGTCTTTGACCCAGATTTGCTAAGTTTTTGAAAATAATTGAACTTTATTAACATTTTAATCATTGTACTATATCTATACACATCATTCTCACAAATTTCCTCAAAAAGTATTGTTATAGCCACGTATCCAACCCATGTACAACTTCTAAAAGGGTTGACACCACTATAACAAATAAGGCTGTCCGTTATAAGTTATCAGACTAAGCATTTCTAGTTTACTTGATCCTCAGGCAAATTTACAACTTGACCCAATTAGATGTGGGTTTTGGTTTTAATCCAAATAAGTGGGACTAATTTTCTTTAGTGTTCTCCTTGAAGAAGTATAAATTAGACAAGCTCAGACTTCGTTTCTGTTTTTTCTCTTATTTTAATTTATAGATGATGACTTCTCTCATCTTGTCAGGAATACCTCCCCTAGGAAATAAGACTAACGCTCTCCTTTGGACTTTTGGAAGCTCCTTTACAACTTCTCTAACTATCTTATCCACAATAGGTAGGTACTGTGCTTTTTTTTCCCAATTAGGATGTTAAATATTTTATAAATGTTTTGCATAAGGTCCTGTCTACATACTGTCCATACCTGTATGTGGCATCTTAGATTTAATGAAATGAAGTAGTTAGTTCAAAGGGCAGCAGACCTTGTGGAACTGTCTGCTGAGATCAAGGAGGGGAGCTGGCCGGATTCTCGGCTCGCTGTGAAAAGGACAATTTTTCTTTTTCCCTACACTTGGGTCCCTTAAAATCTTGGCTTGAGAATATGCTCTTTGAACCAGGAAGTGTGGGGAATAAGAAAAGCTTTCCTCTCACTCCATTTCAACAAAAAGTGTTCCAAATCTAGAAAAATGTCCCCAAATAAGTCAAATGGGACTGACTTCTCCTCTCCCACTCCCCAAAAAGCTTCATCACCAACTCTTAGGCATAAAAGGGCCCATGACTGAGGTAAAAAAAATAACTTCTTAGGATAAGGAGCTTCCCAAAGGGCTAGGCTGTAGTTGCGGAACAGAGGCTAATTTTATCATAGAGGGTGATGAAAAAAAAAAAAGAAACCAAAATGTGAAATGACGAAGAGATGAGGGAGAGAGGGAGAAAATAACAGGGAGGGAAAATACTCTCATCACACAATGTCAGGAATCAAGAATTTATAAAGAAAATTTAAACAAAGCTTTAAGAATACTGTTTAAAAGTATAAAGGCAAATACAGAAGAAAGCAAAGTAGCAATATACAGTAAATATCAAACATGGAGAGAAGGAGGAAGAAGGCGATTAAAGGAATTGAATCCCTATCTTCCATATCAAAAACATGACATAAAATTGGTAAATCAACAATGGACGTATAACCATATTCATCAGTCTAACCCGGAGGACCGCTCTGGGCAGAAATTGCGCCCTGTGTCAGGTCTGGCCCTTTGTATCCCCTGCCGGTCAGCTGTTGGTACTAGCGCTTTCCAGTTTGAGGTGGGGCAAACCGCCAGGTGAGGCAGCTCCACTGGGCAAAGGACAGTTCTCGAGAGAAGGAGGCAACTGCTTCCTCGGCAGCTGATGCTCATGGCACCTGGGGGTGGGTGTACCAGAGGGGTCAAGGGAAGCTGAGTGAGGGCCCGAGAGCATCCAGTGCCGCATGCATTCTTAAAATTAGTCCACTCCTAAAGTAAGTACTCTTCACTTTTTGTTTAACTGCAGGAGTCAAATGTAATAAATGTAGAAAGCTTGGCAAACATGGAAAAACATAATTTTTAAACAATTAACCATAATCTCACTGTTCCACACACAATAACTCTTAACCTTTTGTCATAGAAAGTTCCTCATATATGTAATGTCATTATGCACTTTTAGACTTCTTTCCCAGAGCAATACATCATTAGTATTTTCTGTCATGCACACCTCACTATAATTCTTAAAGCTATCACAGTAATTCATTATATTGATACACCATATTGTACATGTAAAGGAGATCAGTCCCCTTTATTATTGAACATTGATGCTGATTCCAATTTGAAATACTGATACCATGAAAACCCTTTTTATTTTAGCTCACATTTCTTGATTATTTTCTTAGGATAAGATCTGGTTGAGTCCTTGTTTTTTTGTTTGTTTTTTAATGCGTGCGGTGTGTGCCAGGGCTCTAAGAATACCAACAACTGAAAATTGGCCCTCAAAGCCTGACGTCAAATGTGCCCCTTATACCAAGGTGCCGTGCTGAGAGGGCTTTGCATTAATCTTTTTTTCTCTTATCAGGTTATGGGACAGTTTTTCCCAGAACTCCTGGTGGGCAGATGTTTTGTGTTGTCTTTGCTGCGATTGGAATCCCTCTAACTATCGTGTTCTTTAAAAACATCGGTAAATTAGTTTCTCTGCCATTTGAAAAACTTGGAAACTGCCTTAAACATAAGGGAATAAGTGAGGTAAGTTCTCTCTCGTTCTCTCGCTGTCTCCACACAATCACACACACAACACACACGCAAAATCACACACAACGCACAAACACATGCACATACCTGGTAGAGAAGTTTTGTTTTTTTAAAAAAATATATATTATGTGTATTTACAACCTTAGATTGACTATAGGCATAGGACACTTTATAAATACTTATTGAACTCATGTTGAATGAAATTTGTAGGAGTAGAAAAAGCAAGTTGTTCTGTGTTATAAAAACAGAAGTGAGAAAATCCAGTGTTCAAGAGACCACCTAGTTCCTCTTGGGTAATTTGCCTTTAGTCATTTAACTTATCATAAGATGAGCAGAGGTGAGTTGTGTACAACCTAAGCGTTCTCAGAGGTCATTTAGTCAACCCCTTTGTTTTAGAGAACAGGAAAACATTTCCTAAAAGCTGGCTGGCTTACCCAGGATCAACCAGAGAATCAGCTGCAGTGCTGGCACCACCCCCAGAGATGCCTGGACCAAGGCTTTGTCCACATATCAAGTTGAGTCATGTGTGGTCAACTGAGTAATTAGCACAGGTTTTACACTTTTCAAAAAATTAGCAATATCGTTACTAAAATGATTGAGAGTTTATTACTAAATTGAATTGTAGACATTCTTCAAGAAGCTGTTTTTATTTTCTGTAAAGGAATATAAAGAAGGGGTCCCCTTCAGAGAGCCCATGGGAGCAGGTGGGCAAGGTGAGAATCCCATTAATCGTTGGTGTAAATAAAGTCCTCACCCTGGAGCGGAGCCCTTCACTCTGTGGGGCTCCGCTTTCTGTGTTATTTCTCTGTGTCCTTTTTGGCAGTCTATGATTACTGTAGGATCTACTCTGCTGTTATAATTAGAGTTTAGTCCAGTGGTTCTCAACTGCAATTACACACTAGAATCACCTGGGGGAGCTTTTAAAAATCCTGATGCCTAGGCCCCACTCCAGACCAATTTGATTCAAATCTTGGAAGGTGGAACCCTCAAGAGCGTTTAAAACTCCCCAAGTGATTCCAATGTGCAAGAAGTTTGACAACCATGGATCTAGACGAATGGGTCTCAAGTGGAGTGATTCTACCTTCCAAGGGGACATGTGGCAATGTCCAGAAGCATATTTGGTTATCACAGTTCAGGAGGAGACTGCTACTGGCGTGTCATGGGTAGAGGCCAGTGATGCTCCTAAACATCCTGTAATGCGTAAGATGACCCCTCACAACAAAGCATTAATAGGTCCCAAACATCAGTAGTGTCAAGGCTGAGAAGCTCTGATCTAGACCAGTGTGCTCAAAGGATGGTCCCAAAATCAGTGTCACCTGGAAGCTGTTAGGAATGCAAATTCTCAACCCCCACCCCTGAGTATAAATCAGAAACTCTGGGGATGGGGCGCATCAAGCTGTTTTAACAAGCCCTGCAAATGATTAAGATGCACACTAAAGTTTAAGAAACACCGAGCTAACCAGGGGAAAGGTGGGGTGGGGGAGGGCACAAAGGGTGAAGAGGTGCACCTACAACACGACTGACAAACAATAATGTACAACTGAAATTTCACAAGATTGCAACCTATCATTAACTCAATAAAAATTAAATTAAAAAAATACAGGGCCAGCCCGGTGGCACAGCAGTTAAGTTCACGCGTTCCACTTCGGTGGCCTGGGGTTCACCGATTCGGATCCCGGGTGTGGACATGGCACCGCTTGGCAAGCCATGCTGTGGTAGGTGTCCCACATATAAAGTAGAGGAAGATGGGCATGGATGTTAGCTCAGGGCCAGTCTTCCTCAGCAAAAAGAGGACTGGCAGTAGTTAGCTCAGAGCTAATCTTCCTCAAAAAACAAAAACAAAAACAAAAACAAACCAGGGGAGAGCGTATATACATGTTGTTTGTACACACACAGAGTACCTCAGAAAAGACTCTCAAGAAACTAGAAGCGGTGTTTGGCTCCAGGAAGGAAAACTGGGTGGCTGGAGACAGGGTAGGGAGGGAGGGAGTTTTTACTGTATACGCTTTTGTGCCTTTGGAATTTTGTACCATGTGAATGAATTCCCTATTCATAAAAATAAATAACAATTTAAAAAACAAAAACAAAAACACCAAGCTAAAGCCTAATCAATACTTCAGCAAGATTAAAACTTCACAAAGTTCTGCTCTTTGAAAGAAACTGTTAAAACAAAGAAAAGACTAGCTACAGACTGGAAGAAAATATTTGCAAATTATATATCCAATAAAAGAACTTGCATCCAGAATATTTAAGAACTCTTAAAACTCGATAATCAGAAAATAAACAACTCAATATTTTTAAATGGGTGAAAGGTTTAAACATACCTTTTGCCAATAAAAATATACACAAGGCAAGCAAGCATATTAAAATATACTAAGTATTAGTCATTAGGAAAACGCAAGATAACACCACCATGAGACACCAATACACGCTTAACATAGTGACTCACAATAAAAACACTGACCACACCAAGTGTTGGTGAGGCTGTGGAGGAAACGGAACTCTCGTATGCTGCTGGTGGGCGTGTAAAATGGTACAATCACTTTGAGAAACAGTTTTTGGCAATTTCTTAAAAAATTAAACATACACCTACCTTGTGATCCAGTCATTTCACTCCTAGATATTTACTCAAAAGAAGTGAAAGCATCTGTCCTTACAAAGACCAGCACATGAATGTTCTTTGCAGCTTTATTTGAAGTAGCTCAAAACTGGAAACAATCCAAATGTCCATGAAGAGGTGAATGAATACACAACCGTGACCTATTTATATATAGGAATATGACTTATCAATAAAGTGAGTGAACTATTGATACACTCCACAACGTGGATGATTTTCAAAGTAATTATTCCAACTGAAAGGAGCCAGACAAAAAAGAGTGCCTAGTGTATGATTGCATTTATAGAAAATTCAGGGAAATGTATGCTAACGTAGAGTAACAGAATGCAGACCTGTTAGTGCTGGAGGTCCGAGATGGGAACAGCGTGAGAGGGAGCATCCAGGGGCATGAGGAAACTTGTAGAGTTGATGGATAAGTTCATTATCTTAATTGTGATAACGGTTTCACAGGTATATACATATGTCAAAACGTATGAAACTGCCCAGAGTTTATTTTTGTCAGTTATACCTCTCTTTAAAAGTGGGAGGAGCTTAAAAAGTACATCGAGTTAAAACAAATAGGCAAGGTAAATTAAAGTGTCTAGGGATCCACATATGGTGCCATAATCAGAAAGCAGTGGTTCTCAGACCTTTTGGTCTCAGGGTCTCTTTCCACTCTTAAAAATGATTGAGGAGCCAGCCCCGGTGGCCTAGTGGTTAGGTTCAGTGTGCTTCATTTCTGGAGGCTGAGTTTGGTTCCCGGGCATAGGACTACACCATTTGCCCACGGCCATGCTGTGGAGGTGTCCCACACACAAAATAGAGGAAGATTGGCACAGATGTTAGCTCAGGGCGACTCTTCCTCAAGCAAAAAGAGGATTACCAACAGATGTTAGCTCAGGGTGAATCTTCCTCAGCAAAAAAAAAAAAAAAAATATTGAGACTCCCCCAAAGGGCTTTTTTCATGATTCTTCTTTAGGAAAACTGCAATACCTCAGTAAGCAGCAGAAGTGCTTTAAGCATACTTTCCCATTTTTTTCCCCAGAATATTAAATTAGTGTTCAGAAAAATTAATTAATTTTACAGAATATTAAAAATTCGTGTACTTGAGGCTTATGATTTAATAAAATTAATTTTTAACTACTTCATTAAGACATTCTTAAGTGAAGCTGGCTTCTTTTTTAACCGTGAGACCCCGGTGCTCCAGAATATGACGAGTGCTGCTACAGTCAGCTGCCACCGCCTTGATTCCCGGGAAGGTGGCAGCCATTTTACCCACCGTCAGTGCAAATGGCAACATAGTAAAAAAGGCAAATCATATCTTAGTATTACTATGAAAATACTTTTGATCTTGCAGATATCCATAAAGCTCTCAGGGCTCCTGGGAGTTGTAGATCACACTTTAAGAACCACTGCCATAAAGAAACGCAAGGAAGTCATTCCTGTCTAAGTCAGTTTAGGAGTTACTTTTGGGAGAATGGAGGAAAGGGGCACGTGATTGGGATTCTGACATATTAATACCTTATAATAAATCACTAAGCTTTAAAAAAGTTCATTATATATCTTTCCAGAATTTCCTGTATGGATATACAAAGAAATATATCTACAGGATTTTTTTCCAGCTTTATTAAGATATAATTGAGATATAACACTGCGTTAAGTTTGAAGTGTACACGATGTTGATCTGATATCACATAACAAAATGATTGCCGCTGCAGCCTTTGCTAAAACCTCCCTCACGTCACGTAATTACCATTTCTTCTTTGTGGTGAGAACATTTAAGATCTACTCTCTCAGCAATTTCAAGTATCTAATGCAGTATTATTAATGATAATCATCAGGCTGTATGTTAGATCCCCAGAACTTATTCATCCTGTAACTGGAAGTTTACACCCTTTGACTAACACCTCCCCAGTCCCTGGTAACCACCTTTCTACTCTCTTCCTATGAGCTCAACTTTTTTAGATTACACGTGTAAGTAAGATCGTACAGTGTTTGTCTTTCTGTCTGACTTATTCACTTAGCATAATGCCTTCAACTTCTATCCATGTTGCCACAAGTAGCAGGATTTCCTTCTTTCTCATGGCTGAAAATATATATTTATATATATAATTTATATTTAATTGTAATATTTATGTATACGTACCTCACGTCTTTATCCATTCATCTGTCAGTGGACGCTTAGGCTGTTTCCATGTCTTGACTGTTGTGAATATGCTGCAGTGAACATGAGAGTGCAGCTATCTCTCCGAGATCCTGTTTTAATTTCCTTTGGACATACACCCAGAAGAGGCTCACTGCATCATAGGGTAGTTTTATTTGTAATGTTCTGAGGAACCGCCATATTGTTTTCCATAACGGCTGCACCAATTACACATTCCCGCCACCAGTGCACAGG